TATACGATATAGCTACATGGAACCTCTGGGACAGGGGTTTAGGGCCTGAAGGGCTTCGCGAATGCGAAAGACATGAAAATTACTATCATATACCTTAGCTGAACTTGGCCCCAAACCGCCTCAAACAAAACCAAGGTTTTAGCGTCTCGCGCTTAAGCCCCCATACGTGTGCAACTTTTCCGCCTCGCTCCAGCTGTTCTGCTTCGGCACTGATCTTGACTTTCGCGCGCCAGAGGGCGTAGATCCTGCAAAATTCTTGCCCTCATGGAAGGGCGTGAAGTTTGTATGGGCAGGAAACTCTTAATTTGGGAGCTTATTGAGTAGCAACAAGAATAGTTGGTTGCGGCAGCATGACTGGCAGTATTGCCGCCATTATAACTAGTACAATTATTGTTAAGCTTATTGTGTGTGTGTCTAACAGCTCGTGATTGAGGCCTTCACCTAAGTTCATGGAGCGCACAGTCTTAATCAATCAATACTACAGGGTCTCGTGCAAATATCCTTGTGCCCAAGCCGTGACTAAAAATCCTGCAAGGACATAGCATGAATTCAGTATGACGTCCAGAGCCTAAAACCATCCATCCCTATGTAACGCCCTTGGAAGAGTTTAAGTGATGACCAAAGACCACTGATCTCTCCTCTCGGGGTGGTTTCGCAGCACTTCCCCAATCTCTGGCCGCAAGTTCATGATGGTGATCATGTGGCCACCCAGTGCCAGTGGACTCTCTGCGATTGCAAGGCCTGACATCATGGGGCCACGGTTGGTTTATTATCTCAACGTTGCTGGAGTTGTCTGGCTATCCTCGTGCCCACAGCGGTTGAGGGCAAAGCCTCGACGAACACATCAATATGGCAGTGCTTTCATGACTTGGGGACCCAAATGCAATACCCAATATGTTATGATCCTGATTATGAGGTTCCCCAAAACGGTAACTCGCATTTTCCCGTATCAGCTTATTCTCCCATGTGAAGGTTTACTGGGAGATGATGCATCCCATGACGGATCCTCTAAGACCGACCCAGCAAAAGTTTGACCCTCACAAGAAAAGCAGCTCCCCAAAAGACTGGGTTGCTGTTAAGGAACTTAAATTAAGTTACCATAATGGGTATATGTAGTAAATAATAGGGTTTCCCCAATGTAGTAACTTACTTTAAGTTCCTTAACAGCAACCCAAAAGAGC